CTTCAGCTGCACCTCTTCTAAGGCACTCCATATCCTTTGGTCGCTGTATTCGCCGAAAGGATCCAAATTTCTTCTCACACTTCCCGTGAAGACCACCGGGTCTTGAGGTATGATTGACAGCACTCGACGCAAGTCATGCAAACCTATGGATCCCGTGTTAATGCCGTCAATTACTATCTCCCCCTTTGGCTCAACCATACGAAACAGCGCTGATATGATGGATGACTTGCCGGCGCCCGTCCGCCCGACTATCCCTACCTTCTCTCCACTCTTTACAACACAATTCAAGTTTTTGAGCACCGGTTTGTCTGATCCCTCGTAAAACAGGTACATATGATTTAACTCAATTCGACCTTTTGATGGCCAATCGGGAGGGGGTTTATGGTTATCATGTGCTGTGAGGACCGCCTCTTGTGGTAGTCTTGAGTACTCAATGATGCGCTCAACTGAAGTCATTTGACTCTCCATCTCTGCCGACTGCCGGACACCCCATGCGGTCACTCCCGTCAACATCAGTGCTAAATATAGAATTCATTAATAAAAATTTTATAAATAAATACGGTATTTAATAATTAATGATAACATTTGAAACATACCCGACGACAGGGCTAATCCAGCACTGCCTCCCGGTATACCTATTAATAATTATTACAATAAAAAATAGTAAAAACTTAAATAAATATAATAAATAATTAACATCAATAACAATTAAAAAAAAACACATGTTATCATAATGCTTTGTATGCTAAAAAACTTACCATCGGGGAAAATCATCAACACTAACGATATAATTATAATATAAGCGACACAAAACCAGTCGATGGCCAGCCCGAGACCTCTGGATGTGCCCACAAAAGTGAACCAGGTGGCGCTGTGGTCGTTTTGATACACGTAAAATTGTCGCTCAAAAGACTCCTGAACCCCATAAGCCCTGACACTGGCCAACCCACTGATGGTAGTGCTCACGTGCGAGTACACAGGGCTTCTGGCTGTTTATTGAGTTAGTTGACCATGGTTAGTTTAGTTTAACTTATTTAAAATCAATACTTCAATCGCTTACTCAACGCCTCGAAACGTTTGATATCTCGGGCGGACTTTATATACACGGCTCGAATGCCGCCAACGATTGCAAATATGACTATCGCGGGTATAACCAGATATGAGTTGACTAAACCCAACACCACTATTATGCCGATTGTCTGACCAATTATCTAATATTGCATTAATTATTAATTACAATCATGAAACAGTGCGTTGGATAAATTGATCTAGTATGCAATATTGTTACAATGTTCAAGTCAAAAGATGTGGCTGGCAGAAATTCGTCGATAACACCTAGATCTTTTCCAAATCGATTCAATATACGACCTGAAAATGGTTTGTTTGTGATTACATTTTTATTATTAAATAAATGAGCTAGCTTATTTCTAAATATTTTATACACTTTAATAACTAACCGACGGGGTTGTTGTCAAAGAAGGATATCGGGGCCCGTAATAGACGTATGAATATATTGTTGTGAAGGTTAACAGAGGCCCGCATACACATCACAAACCACGTGATGGCCCGAATGAACGTGGTCACAAACAGCAGCCCTATTAATCCGGAATAAATATAAACATCCATTCGCTGTTCAGCCGGATTGGTAGAGTGACCATGTGCTTGATTTTTGTCAGTCCTAATAGTGATTAATGTATTATTGTTTAAAACAATAATTATTATTATAGTTGAGTTGATATACCAGGCCGTTAGGAATAAGTCTGAGCCGTGAAATATGGTTTGCGACGATAGGGTGGCCAGTATACCAAATATAGCCAATAGAGGTCCGGCGCCGGCTTTCACGTACTCCCAGTACACGCGACTATCTATGGAACCCGACTCTCGCTGTTCCTCTTGGATGTGAGGATCGTCCGTCTCGTCCGCATCCATAAAATCCATCTAAAAGTTTGGATTAATTAAAATTTAAATTAATTTTATTAATACAATTCAATTTGAAAGTTTTAGTTTACATGCAAAAGGTTAGTTATAAGTTTATAATTTATAAGTTATACAGTTATAATTTATAAGTTATACATTAGTTTATAGGGTTATTTAAAATAATTGTACTAATATTTTGAGTTGGCAAATCGTTCCCATAAACAATACAATGATTTTAAAAGTTAATAGTTAAAAATAATATTATTATTTATTTACAATTTATATATATAAAATAATTATTTTGCTCTCTCTCTCTCTCTCTCTCTCTCTCTCTCTCTCTCACTTATTTTGTTATTTCTTTTATTTAGAATAACAAGTTAACAAAAAACAAAATAAAATACCTAGTTTAATAAGTAGAACATAACTTACATTAGCCATATCAATACTATCAGTGATGGAGGCACTACTCTTGGTTAGATTGCGATCTTTTTTGGCCTCAACACTAGTCATAGAGAACGACCGCATCAGTGAATCCCTATCCAAATGCACTAAATTTTTGTCCTCGACTGTAGTGACCGGTGTTGTCGTCTCTTTGCTCTCATCCTTCAAGAGTGTCATGAAGTCTAAGCCCCGGGACTGGAGCTCATCATAGGATCCCAATCCCAGACACTTTCCCTCGTCGTTCAAAACCAATATTTG